TCTTTTTTTTTTTCCTTTTTCTATTGCTTTAAGCACAGCTGCCAGTGATCTCCTGAACTGGAACTCAGTACTGGGTGTGGTGGCCCACACCAGTAATCCCTGGAGAGGTGGTGGTAGGAGAACAGTGAGTTTAAGGTCATGCTGCATTATATAATAAGGCCTTGTTTCAAAAACTGAAAAGAGGGAAGACAATAAGGAAGGATGGAAAGAAAGAAAGGAGGAGAGAAGAAATACAATGATATCTGTTACATAAATCTGTTATTGCCTTTCCACATAACTGGCTTTGTACAAAATCATATCCCAAGGTAGCTGACCTCATGTCCTCCTAGTTCTCTTTCCCCTCTCTGTACCCCATATTGGTCTTTCTCGTCCAGAACCTGTCAAGTTTCTCCTGTTGGGAGTGGTTACTTCATTTTTCACAGTAGTCAGAATTGCATGTAATTGAGGTCTTAAATGTCACCTCTTTAGGACTGCGTTTATCACCTTCAGAGGGGCACCAGTCTCACGATTCACCTGCTTCAAGCACAAACCTGCAGCAGGCTAGCCTAGCACTTTTGCCCCTTATTAATACCTTGTGTTCGGTAGTAGTAGCACATTCAGTCAACTGAACTCTTAACCTTTCTGTCTGATGACTTACTAGACACTTGCAACACCCCCAGGGCCTCCAATACCTCATCCAGGCCAAGTTCAATGTGAGAGCACCACTGTCTGCTAATGACTTCTCCTCATGCTCACGGCCCCGTTATTAAAGGTCTGCACACTTCTCTGCAGCCTCTCAGCGATCTTACGCTCTCTGCTGCAGTACTTGCCACCTGTTGGGTGTCTTAGCCAAATGTTTCCAGTCCCTTCAGGTCCCACAGTCCCACTGTTGATGTATACGTGTACATGTGGTTACTGCCCTCGTCTCAGGGCACTGTCTATAGCAGCTTCCCAACCAGGGGCGAGGCAGAATGCCTAAAGCACTCATTCTCTTTTTCCCTCTGTTAACCACAGATCATAAGGAATTTGAAGAGTTCAGCATTCTAGGAAGGCTACCTGATAGTGAGAGCCAGCTCTGATGATTCTTTTGGGGGAAAGTGGAGTCCCTTCATCTGTCCCAGAGAGAAGAGTCCTGGTTGGCTGGCACCCTAACCCTATTGATGTTGTTGCTAATGTGAGCATGTTAGTGTCTACAAACAGGTCAGCTAGACCTATATGGTCTACCTGAGCAATTTAACTGCAATCCAATACTTCTTACATTTTTATTCATTTACTTTTCATTTTTGGAGACAGGGTTTGTCTGGGTAGCCCTGGCTGTCCTGGAACTCATTGTGTAGATCAGGCTGGCCTTGAACTCAGAAATCTGTCTGCCTCTGCCTTCTGAGTGCTAGGATTACCACACCTGGGTCAAAGAAATTTTTAAAAGATCAGTTTCTCAGTCCCACTCATTTCAGAGTTATTTCTTGCAGCTCTATATGGCTGCATGCTGGACTTTGGGATGTATAGCTTTGGGATGTCTCTACTGCTGCCAAAACATTCTTAGCTTTCTCCTCAATTCCTAGGACTTGCACTTGGTTCCTTCTGTTTTCCTTAATTTATATACAAAATGCTTAATAAATTTCTGGAAAGTAATTCTGGGCCACAACCATGGCCAAAGGTCTGCCTGATCCCTCTCCACTAGATCAGTGGGGGCAGAAGGGTCCTTTCACACTAAGTTTGAACTTGGGACTCTTTGTGCTACACAAAGCAGAGCTTTACCACCAAACTGTTCTTTGGTGATCCATTATACCTTCTCTTTTCAGGTCAGGCAGACCTTAATCTGTAAAAGAGGAGACAGACAACATCATCCTTCCAAAGACCCACTATGTGCTTCTGCAATGTGTAAACGTGGTTTCGTAATATGTGTAGGAATATACTGAATATATATTCCTAATATACTGAACAAGGAGGAGAGTCGGTGCACTCGGACAGCAAAAAACTGAAGCAGAATTTTTTTTCTACCAAAGACCGTTCTAGAACATGGTTTATGAGAAGGAGCAAAATGGGATCAGATGAGTCCATAGGCTTCAGTAACAAGGCCAACTTGAATCTTTGCTATAGATACTAGGACTCCTAGACTACAACTGTGGATTCCAGTTATTCACTAGATATATACAGCTGATACAACAGCTGGCCTAGTGTCTGAGGGCCAGTGTCCTGCTTTCTTGAACTCATCTTAGGGCGAAAATACAGAGACCCTTTGAAAAGGGATTATCAACCTCTGTCACCCAGTTCTGAATTCTAACAGGTAATGCAGATGTCCAGCAAAGATGACAAAAGGATAAAGCTTTCCCTGCAAGGGATGAACTAAACTAGACAATGAAAAAGGCACCTCAGTACCCTGGGTTCCTTTGAGAATCTCTTTGAGAATCCTTTGAGATGCTCTGCTGGGATGTTCTTGCCTTTTCCTGACTCCCCAGCCTCTTCCATATGTCCCAGGAGAGGATCCTTGTGAGTGAGAGCAGAGCCTCTTCTGGACTTGATCTCTCCTGGACCATGGAGCCCATGTGGAGGAAGGAATCTGACTGCAGGGCAATTTGAATTTTATTTCTCCCTGTTTCTATGACCTTCCTTCTTTGAAACAGCTCTTCTGGCTGTCTGATGCCTAGCACTGTTTCCTTGGGAAGCTCTCACCTGCTGAAGAGACAGATGTCAGAGAATGAAGTCCAAGCATTCAAGTCTGTCCATCCAGGAAGCTTTCCATGCACAAGGCAAACGCAGAAAGTTCAAAGCTATCTCTGTCTAAAGTGCCCAGGGGCTTGGAACATCCTCTTCCTGCTGCTCCCTCCTTTTCTGAAGTGTTAGACACTGTCAGAGCCTGGCAGTACCATTGTAGACACTACTTATGCTCATGAATGTGGGACAAGGGAAGGGAATTTCTTGGCTTACTCACACCATGGTTCCCTGGAGGTTGATGAATCAATTGCATCTTTCATTCTTACTGCTCATGTCTTTCTGATTTTCATTTGTTTATTGGCTTTTTCCCACTGACATATAAATTAGGGAAAATTATGAATCCCTTTGTTCTGTACAAGTTGGTAGTGATTGCTGAACAATGTTTTGGGGAGTAACACTGCACTCAGTCAACAGGATGCCAAAAGCATCAAGAGGAAAGTAGTCTCTCTCTTCCATTTATTTAATCACTTTACAGCCTGATCCCAGCCTCCTCCCTCTTCTCCTTTGAGTCTCACCCTCATGCCCCCCCATTCCCTCTGCTCCTTCTTTTCAGAGAAGGAGAGTCCCCCAGTGGGCACCAACTTACACTGGCACATCAAGTCTCAGCAGGACTAAGTGCATCTTCTTCCACTGAGGTCAGACAAGGCAGCCCAGCTCTGGGAAAGGGATCCAAAGGCAGCAACAGATTCAGAGACAGACCGTGCTCCTATTGTTAGGGGACCCACATGACGACCAAGCTGCACATCTACTACATATGTGTGGGGGGCGGGGCTAGGTCCAGCCAATGCATGCTCTTTGGTTGGTGGCTCAGTCTCTGTGAGCTGACATGGACCCAGGTTAGGTCTCTTGTGGTGTCCTTGACCCCTCCAGCTCCCTCAATCCTTCTTTCCACTCTTCCACAAAACTCCCAGAGCTTGACCTATTGTTTGGCTGTGAATCTCTGCATCTGTTCCCATCAGATTAGGATTCCATCTTACAACCAGTCAGAATGGCTAAGATTAAAAACAAACAAACAAAACCAAAACCTCAAGTGACAACTCATGCTCTTGAGGATGTGGAGCAAGGGGAATACTCCTTCATTGCTGGTGGGAGTGCAAACTTGTATAACCTCTGGAAATCAATCTAGTGCTTTCTCAGAAAAATTGGGACTAGCTCTACCTCAAGATGCAGTTATACCACTCCTGTGCATATACCCAAAAGATGTTCCACCATGTCACAAGGACATTTGTTCAACTATGTTCATAGCATATTTATTTGTAATAACCAGAAACTGGAAACAACATAGATGTCCCTCAACCAGAGAAGAGATACAGAAATTGTGGTACATTTACACAGTGGAATACTACTCAGCTTTTAAAAACAAAGACATCATGCAATTTGAAGGCAAACGGGTGGAACTAGAAAAGATTATTCTGAGTAACATAACACAGACCCAGAAAGACACACATGGTATGTACTCACTTATAACTTGATATTATTCATAAAGTACAGAAATTAGTCTTCTCAAATGAGCTGTGATTTGTATATTTTAAATATTAAAAAGGAGTTTAAAAAATAATGACAATAGGGAATCTTCATTCTGTGGCCCTGTGCTTCTATAAAAATGTAACATTTGCATGTTAAGACTTTTCAAAACTTCATTGAAATACCCATGATTCATAAAGACCTTTAGCTGGTAATGTTAATGTATATGTAAAACCTTTTTGCATTTAAGGTGTACCTAGTCCTTCACAATCTGTTCCCAGTTGCCCATCGCTTACACAGCTTTCTATGGTAACACCATCTGCAGAGTACTCTGCCATGTCAGAAATGTTAGGTCTCTGTACAGTCCCCTGTGGCAGCCATTGGAACATATGCTGAGTGTCAACTTCCCATTGTAGTTTCCATTTCAGTGGGAACGCTGGTCACTAGGTACAGGATTGGGTAACACAGGTCTCTCAAGGTCTTAAAGGATACATCTTGATGGACAGCCTAGAGGTGGCAACTCACATAAGCCTGTTCCTATGTGTGCCTCCGGCTAGGACATGTTTCTTGTCCCTGTAAGTATCAGAGGCCAATGAAGACAATCTGCTCTTAGACTCTGTGTACTCATTGTCCACACTGGAGATGTTTTCCCTTAATCACCATGGTTCTCAGCTTGGCACTTCTGGCTGCAAATAATTGCTGTGTGTCACCGAAGTTGCAGCAGGTGGCTCTCCACCCCCCTGGGTTACCCCACCAGTGACAACGCAGGCAGGGGTGGCCTTGTTTCCTTTTTGGTGTGTTTTAGTGGATAGCTGCTTGCTTAGAACCCACAGAAGCCTAACCCTCATCCCAGACAGCTGCAGCGGCCCTCTCCACACAGACCCAGGCTCTGTACTTCCCCTTCTGGTGAGTAGCACTCTTTATCTCCTCTGTGCCCTGGATGGCACCTGTGTCCTTGGCTATATGCTGCCAACAAGGCATCTATATCACACGCTTGCACTTTTTTGTTCAGGTGTCATGGGTACCACGTCCTTCGCTAGAAAGTTCCAGTATGGTTCAGGCTTCTTGTAGGATCCCTCCTGGCACACAGTAAAGGTCAGGTTCAAGGCCATTGTGTGTGATTTGTACCTTAAAGGTAGGAGAAGCAGTGTTGGGACAGGCTGCAAGAGGGCTACCAAAAGTGTGAGAAGGGTGACAACCGGGGGTCTGAGAGACTGGCCACGGAAAGGGCTTATAGAGCAGAGAAGACTGACAAGAAGTGAGCGGTGCAGTGGGCAGTGCACGTCATAACGCAGTGTTCAGCACGTGAAGAGCATCCCAGGAAAGGCTGGCTAAAACTTACCTAGAATACTACGTGCAGCGCGGTCACCTTTCCACTGAATGTGTATTTGTGTGTGTGGTGTTAAAGAAAAAGTAAGAAGATATGCCTCAGAAATTTAACAATGGCTAAACTGAAAAGTGGTACTTGATTTTTTACTTTTTCGTCATTTATATATAATGTGTGTGTGTTTGTATTTGTAGTTTTGAATCTTTTTTTTGTGTTGTGAAAACATTCATTTTTTAATAGAAAAGAAACCAAGCGATTTTAAATGACCCATCCATAGAAAATTGGTGTGTCTTTTCTTTTACAATATGTCCACCTTCTTCAGTTCTAAAACTTTTTTAAAAGATTTATTTTACTTTGAATTATGCTTGTGTACATGTGAGAACAGGTGCTTGAAGCATTGATGACTGGTTGTGAGCCATTAGCATGGCTGGGACTCATACTCAAGTCCTCTGCCAGGGCAGTATCTGCTCCTAAGTGCTGAGCCATCTCTCCATGAACCCCACACCCCATTCTTCAGTTCTTAATTAGCCTGCTCGAAAGCGAGCCAGCAGGGCAGGGCAGCTGTTGTTGAGCTGATCTGGACCTGCAAGTAACAACTGTCTGAGTGAATCTGTCTCTTTATTTTCTTTGCCAAACAATCCAAAATAACGGTCATTCTAGCACCTGGAGTTTCAGAGCCCTCTTCCAATTTCTGTCCACTCTTGCCTATACTCGAGGCTTGTACTCACAGGTCCCAGGGAAGTGAGCTTCTGACCCAGGCTTCATGAATGGGCCCTAAGGTAGATGACTCAGAGTCCCTGATCCAATATAGAAAGAAAGAAAAGCAGAGCTGTGCGCGCGCGCGCACACACACACACACACACACACACACACCACAAAATTTAAAAGATGATTCAACTCATGAGTAGCAAATAGGACAAAGGTCAAAGTATAGACCTGGGTTCATAACCCTGTTTGCAGTGTGAGCTACTGCGAGTGGCAGCAGCACTGGATGTGGGCGGCGACAAGCCGCCTCCCTCGGATTTTTCTGTCAGTCCCTTAAGGAAAACAGAGAATAGGAAAATAATGGCAGAGTAATGATGATTGCAGACCGGCCTACCTCAGCACTTTCTCTTCTGTAGAATGAGCAGCTTCCCTCTGCCTCCTGGATGCTGCATCTGAGGTGACATATTTTTCCTGCTACAGAGCTATGTTCCCCCACCTCATCCCATGACTCTATGTCTTTCAAACCTCCAGGGTTAGCAGAGTCATCTCCTCAGTGAAGCCCTCCTGGATATTCCCTGGTGCTGAAATTAGGATTCCCTTTTCCTCATTCCTACAACCTCTCAGGACATTGTTTTTGTGCCATTTTCAGACTCCACTTACCCACTGAACTTGAGCTTCTTGAGGGTGTGAATTATCATACAAGTTGCTTATGCCCAGCTGGTGTCCAGCACACCCGGCCACTGACTGTGGATGAGAGTGACCTCTTATCTCACAAAGCTAACGTTCTGAGCACATCATTTGCATAGCTTGCTACTTGATTGGCAATTAAGCCCCGGGATCAGGTAGGAGTGCTACTGCCTTCACTTTCCAGATGAGGAACCAAGGCTCTGTGAGGACATGCCCCTTGTTGCCAAGCTCCACAGGCAGAAGGAGAAAGCAAAGGCAGAGGGGCTATGATTTCTGGTCCATAGCTCTCCATGTAGCTCAGTCCACCACATAGACTCAGCTGTCAGGAGTCCACAAGGAGACCATAAGGAGAGTGAAGAACAGGTCACTGAAGGATGTGAGTAATTCCATCCCTCTCGACGTGTTTTTGTCATAGTGACCGCCTTCCCCCCCAGCCTTCCTTCTCAAGGCAGGAAGAAAATGAAAGCTGGCTCTGAGACTGGCTGTGTAGTAATACATTTGACAAGTATCTGGACAAAGATTAAAAAGAAATCAACTTAGAGCTCCACACTTTAAGTAGTGGTCTTCACGCCCTACATCAGGGTGGAGTATGTTTGTGTGTGTCTCTCTGTGTGTGTGTGCTGTATTTGTATTTGGTTCTCTCCAAATTTCCTATGTGCCAGAAGCAGCTTTACAATGGAAGAAAGAGTACCCTCCCTAAGAAGCTAGTGCCTGACCCCCGCCGCTCGCTCGGCGGTGGGAGCAGGCTTGGTAAGCAGGTGTGCTGAACAAAAGGCACTTGACTGCAGCTGCTCTTCCTTCTTTCTCTCTCCCTTTAAAAACACTGAGAAGTTATTTTTATAATAGCTCTTACAATTTCACACACTTTTTAAATATTCTAATGCATTATAAAATTTGGGAACAGGATGGGAGCCTACCACAGATGTCCTTTGAGAGACTCTACCCATCAAGGGATTGAAGCAGATGCTGAGACTCACAGCCAAATTTTGGGCAGAGCACAGGCAATCTTATGAAAGAGTGTGTGAGGGGAGATATAAGGACCTAGAGGGGACCGGAGCTCCATAAGAAGACCAACAGAGCCAACAAATCTGAGCCCAGGGGCGGGGGAGGGAGGGGCAGAGACTGATGCACCGACCAAGGACCGCGCATGGAGAGGACCTAGGTCCCCTGCTCAGACGTAGCCCATGGCAGCTCAGTTTCCATGTGGGTGCCCTAGTAAGGGCAGCAGGAACTGTATCTGACATGGACTTTGTTGTCTGCTCCTCGATCATTTCTTCCTGGTGGGGTGCTTTTGCCAGGCCACAGAGGAAGAGGATGCAGCCAGTCCTGAAGAGACTTGATAGGTTGGGGTCAGTTGATAGATAGGGGAGGAGGGCTCCCTTTTTGAGGACTAGGGGAGGGAGATGGGGAAGAAAAGGGAAAGAGGATGGGACCAGATGAGATGAAAGAGGGGGCTATGATCAGGATGTAAAGTGAATAAATTAAAAAAATTAAAAAATAAAAATAAACCTGCATTTTAATTTGAAACAAAAAAATTAAGAAAAAATCAAGTCTTGTTTTTCACTGGTGATCATGGGTTAGGCTTTTTCAGGACAGCTTCTGTTCCAATGGTACAAGTTCTTGTATATATGTTTAAAGATCATAAATTACAGTCTTGTGCAATTTATACTTTAATGATTTTTAATGGCCTAATTTCTTCTTTTTAATGGGCTATGTGTGGTTTTGGAGTAAGTGTATCCAGTTGCTGTATATTTAGATTTACAGACTTGTTCTGAAAGACAATCCTCCAGTATTGAGAGAACAGGGCAGGTTCTCAGCAGAGCAACTACTGAGCAGAGGTGTCCTGCACTACAAATTTTGATAGTGTTTACCCTAAAAAGGCAAATAAACACCCATGCCAACAGCTACACACCCTGACTGTACAAACACCCTCACCATCTGTTGCTGTCCTCACCCTAAAACTTGCTGTAACCAAAACCACCTTCCTTTTCTGGCTTCTTTCTTTTGAAAAAATTCTCAGTTGTTATGTGATCAGTGTTAAAACTCCTTATTCAAGGAAAAGTCAGGTGACATAAGCCATTGGTGCTAGAAATATAGGGAATGATTTAAGACTCATGTTTCCAGGTTAGTCTCTGCTTCCTAAATCCAGTTGCTTAGTTTAGGGTACTTCTCATTTAGTGGAAAAGTAATTTTTATGCCCAAAAGGTAGTTTTTCTTTTTGTAGTTTGAATTTCCTATCTTAACACGGGCTTAAGGATGTCTTGATGACACCTGGTGGCTGAATAGAGATCCATCATCCCTCCCCCAAATTGCTAAGGACCCCAGAAAAGTTTAGAAATGCAACTTGGGGAGAATTTGTGATTTTCAAACTTAGGAAAAAAAAAAGAAGAGAATGATTTTCTGAAAAAATGCATGTCCAACTTCTATTCATCCAAAAGTATTTCAAAGTAGTTTTAAACAGAAATTGGAGACAAGTTAGCAGACTCCCAGAGGGAATGCTTAGATGATGTGGGGGCCAGCCTCTGTTAGAAGGCCAGGAAGCCAGCTTAGTTAGGTGGCGAAGAATATTTAGTGATGGATAAAATGTCATAATTGTTTGATGAAAAGAGAAAGAGAAAAAAATAGAAGTGCATACATGCATAGAAACAAGGCTGGGAAGGAAAATAAAAAGTTGATATCAGTTATTGGAGATATAAATATTTGGGTATTTTGACTTTTCTCTCAACTTTTGTATAGTTATCCAATATTTAAAATTTTTAAAGATTTATATTTCGGTGTGTCTGTGTGGGAGTGTGTGCATGTGAGTGCAGATTCCTATGGAAGCCAGAAGTATCAGCCTGGAGCTGGGGTTACTAATGGTTATAAGTCCCTGACGTTGGTGCCAGCAACTGAACTCAAGTCCTCTGTAAGAGCAGCGTACACTCTTAACCACTAACTTATTTTTCTAGTTCCATAAAAAAATATATTTTAAAAAACAAAAGTTAAAAAAAATCAACAAAACCAGTATGTGTAAAGACAATATAAGAATTTCTCCAGCTACCACCAGGTGCAGTGAAATTCAGTGAGAATGTGGCCCAAGCTTAGGTCCACACTGACTCAGATTCAGCCCCATTCCAGGCTTCCATCTGTCTTGGTTTTTTTTTTTTTTTTTTTTTTTTATGCTTTCCCCCTTTCAGATCTAATTTCAAACATACAGAAGACACAGAAGTGTGTGTGTATTTACATATACACACTTCATATATACATATATATATGAAAATAAGCAGATAAATACCTATGTAATAGAATTTTACTTTTTAGACAGGGTTTTACTATGTAGACCAGCCTGGCCTGGAACTCTCAGTGAACAACAGGTGTAGTGAGAGCTCCTACCATAATGAAACAAAACAAAACAAACAAAATAAAAAAGAAAAGAGAAAAAGGAGGTACTAGAGACATGGCTCAGCAGTTAAGAGTATTTAGTAGATGCTCTTCCAGAGGATCTGGGTTCAATTCCACAGCCCACACGGTAGCTTCCAAACACCTGTAACTCCAGTTCTGATGCCCTCTTCTGGCCTCATCTGGCACCAGGCATGTATCTGGTACACAGTCATACACGCATACCCATATGCATGAAAAAGAAAGACAGAAAGTGAAGACACTTGCTGTTAACTCTGGCCTTCAAGCACAAGTATTTACACACACGTGCTTATACATGTATACAACACACACACACACACACACACACACACACACACACACACACCACCTGACCAAATGTTTTCCAGAATGGTTGCACCTCATTTTGAATAATGAAATTCACAGTACGTTGAGAAGGGCATAGAGTTGGAAAGGCACAGGAAAGGAAGCAACAGAACATGCTGGATTCCTGGCGCAAGTCTTCTAGCACTAGGATGTGGAGTGCTCACTGAGGGTCGGAATCTGGAATTCCTATTCGCCCCTGAGCTCAGAGCAAAATGACAGACTTTGTCAGCAGGGCTCCCTCTTCTCTGCCTTTTCCTGGGGAGCCCAAATTCCCACATCCTCTACCTGAGGGAGGAATGTCAAGTAGTCCTTAGAGAAAACAAACAAACAAACAAACAAACAGGTTCAACTCCCTTTTCTGGGTAGAACCTCTTGAGCAAGCCCTGAGTCCGGGGATTTCAGCCTATGGTAATGAGATCTGGGCTTTTTTCTGAGCCTGTAACTGTACCTGGGATTTCCAAGCCCCTGCTGCCCACAGGATAATGAAGTACTGCACTCCCCTTATGACAGAACTGTGCTGCTGCATGTTCATGAAGCATCCCTGGCACTCCTAGCCGCAGTGAATCAAACACATTCACCCCTGTAACCCCTCCCACTGCCCAAGGTTTATAATGTCCCTGACTTGAGAAATAAGTGCTCTCTCACTACACTCTTCCACCATGACCATTTGACTCATATTTATTCTAGGGGAAAAAGGGCTCCCTTCCTCCCTGAAGGATTCACTGCTGGACCCCTGGAATTCGCTGCGGGGCCCCAGGGCATGACTTCCAGCCAGGCAACTATTGCTGCCTTGGCTGCTGCTGGAGCGCTCTTGACCAACGCTGATGGCCATGTAGCAGCCGCTGGATCTGCTTTCTGGCCCAAACGGCTGCAGCCCTGCGGTATCACTACCAGCCTTGGAACTCCCGAGTTTCAGCTGCTGTCTAGTGCCGGCAATCTCATTAAAAGAGCTAATCTTAACACAGTGGAAAACTCTTTCTCCCCCTCTCCCTCCGGGAGAGTACCCAACAAGGCCCAAGCTCCTACCAGATGCAGAACTGGGTGCAGAATGACAGGTTGGGGTGGAGGTGCTGTCCAGGCACAGACCCCTCCTCAAAAGAGTCCAGCTCTGGTTATACAAATCTGGTTTCTTGCTCCAGCTGAGCCCCTGGACACCCGTCTTCAGGGAGCCCTGACCTGGTATTGCTAGCTCACGCCTAGGCCATATAACAAATCGATGGCAGGAGTGAGAGGGGCCATTCTCAGACCTTACAGAAGATGAGCCAGAAAGAAAAGGAACTACCGTGTAAGGACGGGCTGCAGAAGATGAGCCAGAAAGAAAAGGAACTACCGTGTAAGGACGGGCTGGAGAATGCCTGAGAGGCTCTGCGGTCCAGCATCCACAGATGCATTTTTTGCTAGATACCTAAGCAGTAATGCTGGAACTGCTGCTTTCTCCTTATATTTCCAACACTGCTGTAGTCTGAAAAGGGACATGCATTCTAATGCTTTCTTGGGACTTTTTTCACAAACAAGTTCAATGTTGAAGCTCTACCTTTGGTGTTTGGTTCCTAGAGTGAATCTGTAAGTCTGTCTTCTGTTTGATTTTTGCCCTTTTTTTTTTTCCTAGAAGCTGGCTGTCATCTGACCCACTATGATGCCTACAGAACTCACAGTGAGTATAGTCATGGCCTCAGGTGTCTCAGAAATACCTACTCTTACTCTCTGGCCCTCCTCATCTACTGTAGGGCAGAATTTCCCGTGTGAGCTCCAGGGTAAGAGCTCTGGCAGCAGTGCCCATCACTAATTGTATGGGACGATTCTGGCCATATCCACTCTCTTTGTAAACAGTCATCATTGGGAGGGGCATGCTGTAAAAGAGAGAAAAGTTTACATTTAAATTTTATTAATAGCAGAAGGGTTTTGTGCTCTTTGACGAGGATGGGCTTTGTCCCTTGTGTGTTCTGATGCTCACACAAAAGAAAGGGAGAACCCACTTGATTTGTTAAAAGAAAAGCCCTGTGTTGGACATATATTTGTCTTTCTCTCATAATACCACACAGCGCTTCCAAAAGCATACAGTGGTATTTCTCTGAGAAGCCAAAAACTGAACCAAGTTTAGCATTATCTAGATTTAAATCATTATCTAGATTTAAAAAAATTAACACAAAATGAAATTAAGTATAGGACAGATTAATTACAGAGTAAAATCTAAGCACCTTAAAATATTTGAGGGCTTTCATTTCACTTCTGTAAAAGGAAAAATGCTTTCTATGTGGGTAATCAAAACTAAGCCTCTTTGGTAGAGTGAACAAATTTTCTTCAAATTACCTTGTAGTTTTCTAAGCCTTACAGAAAGGGGTGGCTGAATTAGATTGTCAACAAAATTATTTATGACACATCAATATGTCCTTAGCATTGTCTGAGAATATTTATATGGTTGCACATACCATTAATTTGGTCCTAGTTTGTGAGGAGGCAACCTTGATTTTTCTCGGCAGTAGAAGTTGGCTCCTGGACTCTGAGGTTGAGGGACAGATGCTCAGCAGGTTGCGTCTGCGATATCTGTCTCTTGGTTTCTCATTTGGGATTTCAGAAAATAGTCAAACCTGAAAATGTAGCCTAGATAAAAAAGTGCCTCCCTATAGTGATGACCCTCCATTGTCAGAGAAGTCCGGATGAACCACAGGATCCGGGTGGACCTCAGTGAGACTTTGCACACTGAGTGTGAACTGGCTGTGACATCCCTATCCTACCTCTCTGAGGACCGCACTACTCAGGTGCTGCATATGCTGCCAGCCCCTGACCAAGAAGCTGAGACAGGGAGAATTGATGGAAGGTTCAAGGTCTCAAGCAAACTGGAGGAGCAAATGAGGGATGTATGTATTTTAATTATTGAGCCATTTCTCCAGCAGGCACTAGGGCCTGTAATCCTAGCCCAACAAAAAGCCTACCTCCCCGTGTGTCTTCAGGACATGCTGTCCTCTTCAGGAGTGCTGGGGAAATCTGGGTGGCCTAGGGACCCAGGATATTTATCATTCTTCTTTGTATTCTAGCTTCCTGCAGGGGGCCTTTAGCTCTTTCTCTGTGACCTTTCCCAACTTACTTAACCTCATGGACCTTTCAGGGCATCAGCTCCTCCCTCATGTTTCTTGCCGGAGACCAGACCCATCTTGAGCTGACCCCCTTTTATGTCCTTTTCTTTCTTCTTTCTCCCTTCTCTTGACTCCATACTCACTCTGCCACTAAAATCCATCTCTGTCCGAGGATACTGCATTTGTGAACGTGCGTGCCCTGGAGAAATGACCCCCCCCGCCATGACCTATGTGGAGAGGTTTGCTATTTGCTTCCATGCCTTGGGATAATTAAGAGTCTATTAAAGCTATTTGAAAACACACACATACACACAACAACAAATAAACAAATACAAGAAAACTAAACAACAAAACTCTACAAAAGCAAAATTTCACATCACCTCTGTGTGGATTGCTAATTATCCTTGCTCATCTTCATAGTTTAACTCACATCCCTCTTACCTGTAAGCCTTCCACCATCCTGGTTCTGGGTTTTGGTGCTTTCATAGTATAATTCCATCCCCAAAGCTCTGCTTTCTCTCAAAGTCCACTCAGGCCCCTCATCTGATAGCTTGGTTTTACCAAGGAGCTGAGACTTTTCACCTGGTCCCATATACAGCGTTGACAGGAATCTTCTGGCACCAGAGATGGATCCTTCTGACATTGGTCTTTCAGGTGATTGCATGGATATAGAGAAGTCTTTAAATTTAAGTTAAGAATTTGTGCCTCAGACATGGGGACCAATATATCTAAAACAGGGAGAAGCTTTGCTTAGCTTTTCACAATGAGCTCTTAAGAACCATCCCAGGACACCCATGAGGTCATACTGCTATTTCCTTCCAGCCAGGGTACAAGTGGGTCGGACTTAGTGGTGTGAACTTCAGAATTCTGGACACAGCAGCCTCTTATTATGTACTTTTTATTATCAGCATATTCAATATGTTCTGATGTCTATCTAATAAGACCACACATAAATGTGTGTATGTGCATGCATAAACACACACAGAAATAATACTCCATATTCAAACAAGCCATGGAAACATTACTAAGGAAGGAGTTAAAGGACATCTCAACAGCCTTTTATTGTCAATGTTTAATTAAAATGGAAAAAAAAAGTTCTGTAGAATTTCTTCAGGGATGAATCTGCTTGCGATAATTGTGACTTTAAAAATGAAAGTGCAATATGCAGATTCTCTAGTATTTCACAACTGCAAGTTTTGGGAAAGGCTAGCTGGCCATCAGAAACATATGGGTATTATATAGCACAGTTAATGAAAACTAGGGTAATTGTATTATTAAATACGAATGTGTAAGTATAAAAACTAGCCAATTGTACTTATATTTTTACTAATAATAACTGCTTAAAGCAAATCAAAACCCTCACAGAGATTATGTCTAGTTCAAATACAGACAGATGACTTGAAAAATTATTGCACTTGTCTCCAGGGGAAAAAATGCTGTGAGATTATCCTTTCACAAGAGAAATGCAGAGAATGTCCCTTAGGGCAAGACACTGGTGACTAAGCGTCTCTGTGAAATGATAAAGCCCAATGGGAGCCCTCAGGAGGAGCTGGTAGGAGGTGAGCTCATGTGGGTATGGGATAGAGGCTTCAACAATTCAGCGGTTACCTTGCTCTGGACCTGGCACCCTCCTATCCCTGCTGTCTACCTGCCTAGGCTTCATCCACCCCCCCCTCCTCTAGCAGTGGTGCCCACAGGAAGCGTAATAACACACTAGCATGCATGTCTAGGTATGTTATCGTATGTGTGCTGGTGTGCATGAGTGTGTAGATGTGCACGTGAGCAGGAGGGTGGGCATGTTTAGGCACACGAGAGTCTACAAGGGCATGTGCCCTACGTGTGTGACTATGTGTGCCTGTCAGGGCCGGTCCCCCGAGTGTGTGACAGTTGTGGTCACACAGGGTTCATGTGTTTAAGAATGTTCAGACTCTCTGTCTTGAAATTTTTAATATTTTTTGCAACAAAAACCCTTGGGAACTCTACAGCACTCACATTTATGTGTGCAGTTCAGAGTGTCATCATGTGTATATGCAAATGTGTGTGTATGTGTGTGTATGTGTGCAGATGAGTGTTGTGTTACATGTTTGTACTTCTGGGACTCTCAGGAAACTCAGAGGTGCTGTGACTCCAGTGGGTTTAAGAGCTACTGCTGACTTTTTATATTTTCAGATGTGAATAGTTGAGGGAAAGGACTGTCATATATCACAGTCACTCACACAGTTCAAGTAAAGTGTCCACTTGTGGTCCAAAGTTCTCTTTCCTATCATTAGATACTTGCATCTACATTATGAGTGTTCATTTCTTCTCTGTGTCCTTCGTGAATAAGTTAAGCTCTATGAAAGTAGAAACCAGACTAGATTGCCTGGTACCTTTAGCAGTTATCTTAGTAACCAATTTACAGGTGGGAAGTAAACACTTACTAAATAAATATTTCTCTCATTGGTCACTTTATTATTTTAACAAAACACCTTACATTGGGGTATGTATAAAGAAACTTTTCTTCAGTTTACAGTTTGGGAGCCTGAAGATCTAAGATTAGGCAGGCTCCTCTGGTCAGCCTCTCCTGTTATATCACAGTATGGCTGAAAACAACATAAAAGAAGATACACACAGTCATTTGGTAAGATAGGAAGTCAGAGAGATCCCAGAGCCAGGCTCTCCATCCCTTATGACAAGTTGCTATTGTAGGACTGGGATTCCAAGAGACCTCATTAATACCTCCCATGGTAGTGTCATATTACATAACCCACCTCAAACCATGACACTGGGTGACCAGTATTTCATAAACCAAACACAATCAAACCAAACTAAACCACAGCACAGCCCTCCTCCCCACACACATGCTCCTTTTGCTTTATCATAGAGTTTTGGCATTGGGTCGGATTCTTATATCTACCATCAGACCAGATCACTCAAAAGATATTTTTGACTAAATGCTATCCTTATTATTTACAGAGCCTTATTCCTGGTATGTTTGACGACTACAACTCTGACTCCACTGATTCCACAGATGACTACATGAATTTCAACTTCAGTAGCTTATTCTGTCAGAAAGACAATGTCAGGCAGTTTGCAAGCCATTTCCTTCCACCTCTGTATTGGCTTGTTTTCACTGTGGGCACCCTGGGCAACAGCCTGGTCATCCTTGTCTACTGGTATTGCACAAGAGTGAAGACCATGACTGACATGTTCCTTTTGAATTTGGCAGTTGCTGATCTGCTCTTTCTTGCCACTCTTCCCTTTTGGGCCATTGCTGCTGCCAGCCAGTGGACATTCCAGACCTTCATGTGCAAGGTTGTGAACAGCATGTACAAGATGAACTTCTACAGCTGTGTGCTACTCATCATGTGTATCAGTGTGGACAGATACATTGCCATTGTACAGGCTATGAAGGCTCAGATGTGGAGGCAGAAAAGGCTGCTATACAGCAAAATGGTCTGCATTACCATCTGGGTGATGGCAGCTGTGCTCTGTACTCCAGAAGTCCTGTACAGCCAAGTCAGTGAGGAATCTGGCATTTCAGTTTGTACCATGGTCTACCCTAAGGATAAGAATGCTAAGCTAAAGTCAGCTGTCTTGATCCTGAAGGTCACATTGGGGTTTTTCCTCCCCTTCATGGTCATGGCCTTCTGTTACACCATCATCATTCATACACTGGCACATGCCAAGAAGTCATCCAAGCACAAGGCCCTCAAGGTGACCATCACTGTCCTTACTGTCTTCATTATGTCTCAGTTCCCCTACAACTGCGTTCTTGTAGTGCGGGCTGTTGATGCCCACACTGTGTTCATCTCCAACTGCACTGTTTCCATCAATATTGACATCTGCCTCCAGGTCACTCAGACGATTGCATTCTTTCACAGTTGCCTGAACCCAGTTCTCTATGTTTTCGTGGGTGAGAGATTCCGTCATGATCTGGTGAAGGCCCTGAAGACCATGGGATGCATTAGCCAGGCCCAGTGGGTTTCATTCACAAGGAGAGAGGGTAGCTTGAAGTTTTCTTCTATGCTACTAGAGACAACTTCTGGGGCTCTCTCTCTCTGAGAGAACTCACTGAGGCAGAGGGTCCTTTTTGGAAATAATGAGATATTAGACATAACATTCTTCCTACTGATGAGACTAAAGAGAAAGCAAGTAATAAGGAAACGAGGGGAAACAAAACAAACTGGAATGAACCCAAACTTCATTTCGCTCAGTCAGAATTTGCCAAACAGTTTTCAAAATTGAACACCCCAGAAAGGCACCAGTTAGTTTTTTGTTATAGTAAGTGAGCCGTGCACATGCTGATCACCAGCGCAGCTGGGTTCTGGAGGTGTTGACTTTCTTCAGTGCTGTTACTTCAGCTCTGATGCTTCTCCTCTGCAGAGGTGACAAGAGCACTGGCCACTGCCATCGTACACACAAGCAAGGCTTGGTGACATTTTCTACTTTAAGGTCTTTCTCTATAGTCCTATTGGTAGGAAGACTGTCTGTATTTCTCATTACTTATAGATTTTTGATCTAGAATACACTCAAAACAATCTGAGGTTGAATGCCATTCTGATCCTCTTGGTCTCTTCTGAGCCAGGGAGAACCATTGTTCCTATTTTGGACAGACTGGCCAGTCTATGTACAGCTGTCCACATCACAACATCACCTGGAGTCTGTTGCTCCCAGCCCACTTCTGTGTCTGGCAGTAGATGCCATGTCCAAACCTCGCTGCAGGCCAGATCTAGGAAAGGATCTAGTCTGTTCCCTGGTATGGGGAAAGTGGCCCTCACAGAATTAAACCTGAGAATATGTTTGGATGGTGGGGACCTAGCCTTTGGGACTTCCTAAGGGAAGAGGCATTTGCTGCAGGTTCTTCTATCTTCTCCCTGTCAGTGACATGTCCTTTCTAAGGCTCCCAGAATTGTGTTTGCCTCCTTGCTGCCTCCCCTTTCCTTATGCTGTAGTGCCAACAGCTTACAAACTTTTAACTTTAGAGAGATTAAAAAGAATGGGTTGGCGAGAAAGCTGAGATTAAGAGCACTGACTGTTCTAGAGGACAGAGTAGAACAACTCCCAGCACTATGGCAGCTCACAACTGTCCATACCTTCAGTTCCAGAGGACTGACACCCTCACATAGGCATACATGCAGGCAAAACGCCAGTGCATATGAAATAACATAAATAAAAATTTCAAAAGAAAAAATAAGTAATATAACTTACTTTCTGCCTATGTTTTTAACTACTTGTCGAATTTCACACATTGGAAAAATTATTGCATATCTTGGGAAAGTGCTTTATAATGTATACTTAAAAATGTTCACCACTTGCCATTTGCTTTACCCTTTATCAATATTATGAGCAATTAAAGATTATATAGAAATACAGTAATTGTAAAAGGCTGTATACCCCCCCATCAAGGTTTTTCTTTCTGTCTTCCTTTATATTTTACATACATAAAAGACAAAGTGAGCATTTCTGGGAAGGCCAGCAGGTAACTCAGCAGAAAATGATAAGTGGGCCTCAATATCACAGGCACCACTTCCAAAACCGAGGTCAGTATAAGGTCAGAACTGTTTATATCATTGACTGTCATTTCTAGGAGACTCAGATATCTGCCTTTTGAGGAACTTGGACAAACAAGCAAGAAGTATAAGCTCTTCTGTCTTACTGTTCTGTTACTGTGAAGAGAAACCATAACAAGGCAACTTATAGAAAAAAAGCATTTAATTGGGAGAATTACTTGTAGTTTTAGAGGGTTGTTTCATGATTATAATGGTGGGGCGTGTGAGGCAGGCAGAGACGGTGCTGGAGCAGAAGCTGAGAGCTTGCACATGATTACAGGTAAGTAGCAGAGAGTGAGACTAGCCCTGATGTGAGCTTTTGAAACCTCAAAGTCCGCCCCAATGACACACTTCCTCTAACAGGCCACAGCCCCCAATCCTTCCTAAAGAGTCCACCAACTGCAGACCAAGCATTCAAACATGTGAGCCCATGGAGGCCATTCACATTTGAACTACAACACACATGTACAAAGCCACAGCATCACACAGGTGACATTTTGTTTGTTTAAGAGTGTCATTTGATGTTGCAGTTCTAACATTTTGTCCTGGAGTCAAATGGTGCCGAAGGGGAGGGGCAGAAAAAAAAAAAGCATAGAATGAACCTCCATTGTACTTGCTCAATCTACATGCTTGGCCAAGAGTTAGATAAAGAACCCTACAAGGCTCAGCGGGTGTTGAAGGTAAGTGCATATTAATGAGAAAAAAAATTCCAAGGCTTTTCTTAATGTTTGTGAAGAGGATGTTGGGAATACTACAGGAAAGACAAGCTTTGGGCAATACCTAGTGCTGTAATCACACTTAGTTTTAAGAAGTTCTTGGCGGTCTGGGGAGATGGCTTAGAGGTTTAAGTGCTTGCGCAGTCATGAGGATCTAAGGATCTCCAAACGCCCACATAAAAATCCTTGTGCAGATGTGGAAAACTGTAATCATTGTGCTGGGAAGAAATCCTGTCCCTGGTGTTCACTCACCAGTCAGTCTAGACAGTTGTGAGTGCGGGATGCAGTGAGAGACCCTGTGTAAAAATTAAGGTAAGGGTCTAGAGAATCCTTGGTTCTGGCTACTTCCAGATGGTACAGGTTCCATTTCCAGCACCCACATGGTTGTCACAGTTATCTGTAACTCAAGTTCCATGGGATGCAGCACCCTCTTCTGGCCTTCATGGGCACCAGACACACAAGCGTAGTCATAAATACATACAGGAAAAGCACTCATGTAAATAAAATGAAAAAATTATAAAAAATATAATGTGGAGAGCATTGGCAGAAGACACCTGATATCAGCGTCTGGTCTCCACATGTACATGTACACACACACACACACACACACACACACACAGTGCTAGAATCTGTCAGTTTTGACTTGTTACATCTCGCAAAGCTCTGATGTAGAAACAGAGATGTACTAGAACAGTGCCGTATTATGTTACATTATATTAATTATAAATATTATAATATTATTTATTATATTAATTATAAATATGTTCAGTGCCTTTTGTTTATGAAGTAATTCACCTTTAAATGATTGCATAAACAGGACAATAAAAATGATAGTCTATAGTTTAATTTTACATTTGAATTTAGCCTGACTATTATAACAGGCTAATCCTAAAAATGCCCTGAGAGTAAATATAGACAAGCCCATGAGCCCATGAAGAAATTGGATTCCCTATTCCACACATCTTAGACACATGCTCTGTGAAGATGATGATGAGACATTTAATATATGACTACATTTTACTGGAACTCTTTAAAGGAGGAGGAAACAAATTATAACATGGTTTTGCTTAAGAAATCTGGTTTACTGGAAAAGAACTTTGTAAAAATTAGTTACTTTAAGACAAAGTGGCACAACATGCTGACACTGACAGGCCCTGTTGCTTCAGAGGCATCTGAGGAACAGGAGGTTTGATCCTTGTATTCAAACCTGAAGAGCACACAACCTCTCATATCCATTCCTTCAGCACCAGGTGCTCAGAATCAGTCCCAGGTGCACTCATAGTCACAATACAGTACCACCTTTCCTCAGCACACTTCCATCCCAGCAGGGCAGGAAACCCAGGTGTTGTATAGTCCTGCTCAGAAGACTTCAGAGCTCTGGCCTCACTTAGGATACAGCTTGAGGTTACATTTCCTGGCATGGAAGGATTCAGGTACTACCCGCTGTTGTTTCTGAAGCTATTCAGCTCTGAAGGAATGGCTGCCCCATCCTGCCTCACAACCAGAACCAATAACACACCTTGAAGTTACTATGAATTAGACTGCTAGTTTACTGTGTACTCAGCTGTTTGCCTTTGAGAGGACAATGTAACGTGTAACAGCCAACTTTACTTGTCTTGGATTTCCCACGTAATCAACTTTTACAATGTAATGCAGAGCTATATATAATCTTAAATTTTGTAGTCTTCTATGCCCCTTACCCAAGTAATGAAAATATGTTTGCAATAATCATCACTTGCTGAAAACAACAAAAAGAGAGGTTGAAAGCAATTTTTTTTCAAATTTACCAATTTATTAAAAAAAATTGTCTTCTAACACGTGTAACACAATGTAACAAATAAGATCCCCTCTCGCATAGTATAAAACTGTAGAGTTATTGTTCACTGCCACCCTAAGAGGTTTTTACTGCCACTTGTACTTTTAAGAAGAAGAAGAAGAAAAAAAAAAGGATCTTCTGTAGACTAGTAAGATGGCTCAGTGGGTAAAATCCCTCAATGGGCAAACCTGAGGCCTGAGTTTGATACCCAGAGCCCACAAAAAGCCAGATGTGTGGCATGTATCTGTAATGCCAGGCTACTACTGCGAGATGGGAGGTTACCACTGCCCGGTGAGACAGGAAGACTCACCTGGAAGCTCAGGCCAGCTAGCCTGAAGCACCCAGAGCAGATATAACAAGAGAGCTCCAGTCACAATGAGGCGGAAGAGGAGAACTGAGCCCAAGGTCATCCTCTGACCTCCACACGTGCATCATGTGAGCAGCCCCCACAATATCAAAAACAAAACATTAAAGCTCTTTTTAAATATTTCCTTTCCATATCTCACAAAGCTTTTGAGTAAAAAAATGTGACATTGCATTATGGAATTGGCCGAGCTAACAACTTCCCGAGGCTTTAGGCAGCGAATGATCGTGCATAAGCAAGAAGGTGGAGAAAATACGGAAAGCCACAATGAATTAACTCTGCAACTGCAGAGGCGATGCCAGGGCATCTCTTTTCCTGAAGAAGCAAGGTGACTGCAGGCAGCTCCATTATCCCAGAAGGTCATTCAGGCACACCAGGGCCTGGAGAGATGGCTCAGCAGTTAGGATTCCTGGCTGCTCTTGCAGAGGACCCGGGTTCAGTTCACAGCACTCGCATTGTGGCTTGCATGACTGTAACTCCAGCTCCAGGCATTCTGACTCCCTCTCCTGGCTTTAGAGAATTACACCAGAATATGCAACCAGAATGCTCTAGCTAGCGGCACCACCACTGATGAGCAAAGGCAAGAACTGCGTCTTTAGGCTCCATTTTATGCTGAAAGTCAGCAAGCGATTCTGGTATATCCTTCATATCTTCCCAAGGTCTCCAGTCCTACAGGCCTGTTCCTCAACTCCTCTGCTTCAGTAGGTATTTAATAGGCCTCTTCTCCTGTTGGACTGAGATTCTGTGATATCAACACCAGGCTGACCAGTAGATGTTTATGGACTGACAACTGAGTGTTGGAGCAAAGAGGAAGGCCAGCTCTCAAAAGCAATCTTACAAATATGAATATCTACCATAAATTCTGAACATAACATATGGATTGTTTGATAAACAATGTTTGCTGTTCTGTTTGTTACCTCAGTCAGTTGAAGTATGACTTAAACCCTGGTAAAATTCTGTTAAATATTTCTGTAAAGTATTCCTCATTCATTCCCCAGGTGATGCTTTCTGTGCTGTTCAATACAGAGCAAAGTCCTTTATTTGGAACACACACACACACACACACACACACACACACACACACACACACACATACACGGACAGAGAGATTCAAAAGTCTTTAAGCAGGCACTAATTCAGAGTCATATAACAGAGACAGAATGGAAGACAAAGGGAGAACAAAGAGAATTCAAATCTGAGTCTGCTTTTGGTTAAATGACACCAAGGGAAAGTGCTTTGATTTTTTTTTCCTTAATGCATAAAACCATTAGTGACTCAGAGTTTATTATTAATGCAGTTAAACCAACTGCATGACTGTATTCTTCTACATACAGCAAACATTGTTTATCAAACAATCCATATGTTGTGTTCAGAATTTATGGTGGATATTCATTTTATAAGATTTTATAAGGTTGCTTTCAACCTCTATTTTTGTTGTTTTCAGCAAGTGATTATTATTGCAAACATACTTTCATTACTTGGGTCAGGGGCATAGGGGACTACATTATCAAAGATGGCTGTGGTTGGTTAAGATGCATACAAACAAGGCTCGAGACTGGAAAGAACATGTAAAAAAAAATGCCACCAATCACTGTTGCCCCAAAACCAAGCAGCATAAACAACAGCCCTTTCCCTTTGTTCACTATTTTATAGGTAGGGAATCTGAAAAGGACTTCCTTGCCTGGATCTAGCTTGGGGTCTCTCATACAGCTGCAGTCAAATGATGGCTGAGGCTGTGGTCATTTGAAGCTTCAGGGGTAGCCGAAAGTCAAAGAGAAAGTGAGTCAAGTAACACAACACTGTGGCCATGTTTCTTCAAAAAACCTTTTAATCAATTCTTTGGGAATTTCATACACCAGATTTTGATCACATCATCTCTACTCCTGTATCT